ACAATGTCTTTATGATTTTTTACCAAGATTCTACATTGTCTTTGTGATTTTTGACCAAGATTCTACAATGTCTTTTCTGTAGTGAAGAATGCATGTATGGTACCTATAGTTGTCTGATGTATGTTTTGGTAACTACTTTTAGGCTTTTCTCTAGGGTTGTAAATGTTTGTGAAATCTGCAATGGTGAAGTTCTTGATTAAGATCAAATAGATTTCTGGGTTCTTCAAGTAAGCTTTCTCTTCTTCTTTTTTCTTGGTGGATTTTCGTACTGCTATTTCAAGATTTTCTTATGCCTACTGTATTTTAATTGTGTCTTAGGTTCTTTAAGGCTTTATGTTGGAGAATCTGACTTCTTAATGTTTATTGATTGGAATTTATCAGTAATTGATATTGTTTTGCTTTAGTGGTTTTTTATGTTCCGAATTTATAATGTTTATGTGAATTTTTATCAAGATTCTACAATGTCTTTTCTAATTTAGTGAAGAATGTATGGTACCTACAGTTGTCTGATGGATCTTTTAACTACTTTTAGGCTTTTCTCTATGGTTGTAACTATTTGTTGAATCTTTAATGGTGAAGTATTTGGATCAAAGAGATTTATGGGTTCTTTGTTGCTTTTATTTTTTCTTTAAAATCTACCAAGAGTTGAATGCCTGCTGATATATGATTGGATGATATTATTTATTTTTAATAATTAGTGTGGTTGTCTTTGTCTTAAAGTAAGCTTCCTCTCTTTTTCTTTTTTTGATGGATTGTCATACTGCTATTTCAAGATTTTCTTATGATGTCTACTGTATTTTAATTGTCTCAGGCTCTTTAGGGATTTATGTTAAAAGAATTTGACTTCTTGATGTTTCTTGATTGGCATTTAACAATGTAATTGATATTGTGTTGCTTTAGTAGTTTATTATGTTAAAGAATTTGACTTATTGATGTTTCATGATTGGCATTTAAAAATCGACATCTTTACATAGTTCTCATGATCCTTATGCTTTTTCGGCTGCATGACACTCAGAGGATTCTTTGTGCATGCTATAGCTATTCTCTCAAATCATATCCTGGAATATTGTGCACAAGTTCATGAAAGCACGCCAGGCGAGGAATCTTTAGAGGTTGTCTTGGTTAATGAAGAGGCTGTCGGAACAGCCGATACAGTTAGATGTGGAGAAAAAGTTCTTCGTGGTGGCAGTGGGTTGGAGAATATTTATCCTTTTATTGGATCAACAATGACAATGGTTTATCTCTTTTCATAGATGAGCATTTTAAGACAATTGGCCATCAACCCGTCACGTTATATATCTGAGTATCTGCAGAGCTAGTTCCCTACCAATCATAAAAATGGTTTTCTAGGATTGACCATAATAATCTAGAAATATAATTCAAGCAATGTCTGGTCCAGTGAGAGCATTTAATTATATAGTGAGTGATGTCTTATAAACCATAAAAGATGTATATTATAGGCTAATGAATGTCAAATTTTGTCATTGCTTTCTTTTGTTGCTTATTATTCTTGTTGGCCATTCTTGTGCTCCAATGCTTAATGTTCACAAAAGTATTATTCGCATTTTCACCAACAAAAACAAAGTTTTATTCATGTTTCTTACTAAATTAGCTATACTTCTTTCTCTCATGAATCAGCTAATGCATGGTTTACTTGGCTTCACAATGGGTTCCTTATAGAGGTATATTGTTAGTTTGTTATGTCTCTTCATATCTGAATGCTTATTCGTCAAGTCTTTGCAATGGAATTTGTTTTGACTGAAAGTCTTACAACGGCTATAAGCCTTGTTGCAACCCCTCAGTGTAACACACAACCTCTTTTTCTCCTCTGCAAAAAAAAGAACATAATCGGTAGTAAATAAAGGGACAAACATTAATTTGTAGTGTTTCTCAATATATATTCACTGATCCCATTGTCTGTTCTTAACCCTTCCCTCTTTCGACCCCAGATCCCCCAAATAAATAGAAAAAAGTATGCGGACGGGATACTTTTCTTTACAACAGAAATTTGCAGTTGCTGATCCATTTTACATCCAAAAAGTACCAAAAAGAGTTGTAGCCTTGTAGATCGATTGTTTTGTCATGTGCACAAATGATTAATAGAGTAGGGACTTCTGTGTTGAGATGTTCTGAGGTTCACTATATACAAAGTTATCCATTATATTGTTCACCCTTCACATGAAATGTAGTTGTTGTCTAATATTTCAATGATTTCTTGCTCTTCTATTTCTCTCCAGGTTGAGAACAAGTTGGGGCACCTCAATCTTTTTATGTACTCTCATATGTTCTCTCTCTACTGTTTTCCTTCTTTGAAAGTGTTGTAATAAATCACAGAAAATTTAAACAAGAAACATATATTTTGATTTGCAGGCTCGGGTTGTGGGTGCCTCGGATATACATTATATTATCCTCATTTTTAATAGGAGAAAACATCATTGCTCTGGTAATAGATAACTTCAATGATCTTCTTTTACAATTGTTCAGCTATTATTTACAATGAAATGATCACTCATGTGTTGATTCTTTGCTTGTAGAGGATCACGATAAATACTCATGCTTCTCTCTCATACATCCTCACATCCATAGGCAGTCCAATAGTTCAATCTATTAATTTTATATACACCTTATTCAGGACTGGTATATGTGGTGACGACTTCTTATAGTAGGGTCAACTTATCAAAAAATTCCAGACAAACATCTTAGTCAACTAGAATCGAACGGAAAAATTCATCTTAGCTACTTGACTGAAACGACCCCAAAAATGCCCGAAAATGTACTTCGGAAACACCTATAATTGTAATTTTCATATATCTCAAAATTTGTGCATAATTTCGGAAATTCGACTTCATATTCTTATTCATGGGGTCAAATTGAGTGGGAAATGGGTCTAACCCGAATTTTAGAGCAACCGTATCAAAATTTGAAAATCGCAAAAAATGCGATTTGGAAGGTCACTTTAAAGGGACATATCTCTTAGCACACAAGGAACTGGAAGGGCCACAACCTATTAAATTAAAGTTCTTTGAGTTAGCTTTCCAATGCACTTGGTTTCACCTCATTCTGAGTTAGGATGAGGGAGTTATGACCATTTTCGTAAAACTTGTCTGTGTAGATTTGCAATTTCCAGTGAGCTATTTTTTTTTTTTTTTTGAGGCCAAGTGTTGGGGACTTTTTTATAAAAAGGGGATATGTCCCATACTTAGTCATTTTTAAATTCAAAAACACTCTCTAAGCCCTCTCCAAAATTCCACCAAGATCCTCAACCAAATTCAAACATCTCAAGCTTTAATTCTGGATTCAAGACTCAATCTCAAGCTTCAATTCTCCATTCCAATCTTCATCAAGGATTCTCCAAAGTTGAGGTATGTGGGTTTGATTGTGGAAACTTTCCTTTCCACAAGTCTAACCATTTATCCTCTATTTCTACTTCAACTTTATGGGTCCTTATGGTTATTTATGAACTCTTGAAGTATGGAATTACTACTACACACCCTATTATGGTCTATTTTGCATATTATTATGAAATGGAATTATTATGTGATGTTTATGGTTTTCATGCTTTCACGATCAAATTATGAATGTTGATATATATATATGTATGTTGTTGGTGGGCTGATTTATATGGATTTTGGAATTGGTTGGACTTAGTACTCTTGAAATACATGATTTTATTTACTTGAACAGTAGCCCACCATGTGTTTGATAAAATGCCCATTTATAGAATTCTTAGGAAATGGAAGGTCCAATGTACGTCCTATGAGTCGGATGGTTATATAATTACTGAAATGATGATGAAATTGACACATGTATATGATTTTCTCTATATAAGTGTTGTGAGTCGACCAAGCCTAGCTCGGGAGGTTGTAGGCCCGGGTAACCGTATCGAGGGGTTGGTACCTTGGTTGCCTAGTACGGGGGGTAGTAGGCCCGTATAACCATATCAAGGGGTTTGTACCTTGGTCCCTAGCTCGGGGGGTGGTAGGCCCGAGTAACCACATTGAGGGGTTTGTACCTCTTTCGCCTCTCCAAGGGGGTGGTAGGCCTTGGAAATACTATATTGATGGTCACTCACCACACATGTACTACGCCCCACTAAATATGATTTTTATGTAAGCATCATTATACATATCATCTCATTAATATGCTATCTATCGGGTATGATTATACATTTTGCCTATGATGTCCATCTATTGTTGCATTGCATTGCATCCCATATACTTAGTACATTCAAACGTACTAATGCATACTCTATGCCTACATGATGTCACCATGTAGGGACCAGAGCACCGCTTGACCATCCTCCTCCGTGTGGCTAATACAATTTTCTATCGAGGTTATTGGTGAGTCCTTCATTTCGAGGACGTTGCTTATGATCTCTTGCTATGTATAAGACTTTTCCTTTTTAATTATGTGTTGACTATGAGGGTGAGCCCGATAGTTTGTCTTGGCCCCCGCTAAGTAACCATGCTTAGAGGTGGTGCTAGACAAGTTGTGTATTATGCTTGAGCTTGACTCATCTATGGTATTTATGTATCATTCTCTTTTTCTCTTGCTCCCTTAGTCCCGACTTCCCCTTGATTATGCTTATCGCTTATGGTCATTTTAATTGCTTCCGCGACCAAGGATGTGCAATGATATGCTATGAGGCTTGTTTGGGGTTCCTTTGGGTTCCACATTCGCCGGTCACGTCTAGGCCCTAGGCTTGGGTCGTTACATTGACTGAACGTATTTGAAGGCGAGTTCAAACAACGCTCTCAAACCATGAAAAGTCAAAGAGACACTCATTGAACTCCAAATATCCTTCAAGCCAGGTTCATAAATTGGCTAGGTAAAGAAAGTCAAACTTTAATCCCGGGTAGTTTCCGGGTTGAAATCTAGAAACAAGAACACCATGAAGATCACAACTGTATCATACACTAATTGAAGGAAAATATAAACTCAAGTTCATCAAGAACAAGAAAAATGTAAAAGGTGTACCAAAAATTAGGGCATAAAATAGTTCAAGTTTCTTTCCTTGTTATCCTGCCATTCAAAAGTGAAGAGCATTAGGAATCAATTGTGAGCATATCAGCATGAGACAAAAATAGAAGAAACTAGTGAATAAGATGTTTATTGTTGAAATAAAATGTTACATATGCTAGATAAAGTAGAGAGATAAGGATCTTCGTATTTACTTTACGCTGGAAATGTTAGTAAAGGAAACTGGATATTGTAAATGGTTCTTGGATCCTTGTAACAAAATCAAGGTTGATTTTGGGTAGACTGGGCACTCTATTCTAGCTATTGCGCAGAAATCAAATAATATATAGTCGGGGCACAATAATTTTTACCTGAAACTGTATATCTCGAGCGTTGATGTGATTATTATGCAGAAATCAAATAATATATAGCTGGGGCACAACAATTTTTACCTGAAACAGTATATCCTGAGTGCTGATGTGATTTTATGAATAACAGATGTGGTAAAATGCAAATACAGAAATATTGAAAAAAATGAGAGAAATAATAATAATCAGCCAATTATTCACAAGAGTTCAAAAAAAAAAACACAAGATGAAGACACTTGTTCGAAGATCTCTTCATCATAAATAGAATATGGAGCAGTCGGTATTTAATCATCAGCTCTTATGATTGGCTGATATCAACAAAAAAATATGTTTGTAGATTTAGCTTAAACTTATAACTTCCAAATATAGTTCAACAAAACAACATATCATATCCATTTGAATCGCTAAAGCATATGTAATACCTGAGTATGCAGTGTAAGCGAGAAGAACCCAGAACTCATCAACCATAGGAACTCTGCAAAGAAGAGATTCTCATCAACTTACAGAAATACAAGAATTTTGGGGAAAAAAAATATTAGTGACATGTAAATTCATACTCTCCAGAAACTGGTATGACTTAAATTCTCTTGAACGGATAAGACTGGTGTCAACTTACCCATCATTAAGTCTGGCGGTAAGCGCATTAGCAACAACAAAAGGGAGACAAAGCAAACACTGCAAACATAAAGTTACATTTCAAAAGCACTGAAACCACAATACTCAAAGCGTCATCTATTAACTTGTGTTTTTCTTTCAATAAATTATTTTCTACCATACTATCTCATTCAATAGAGAGATTATCAGCAACAATGAAACAACACGAATTCTCTGTCAAGACTAGGAGTTATTAATCGAAGATATAAATGCCAGACTCTATCAACTTAAATAAAAGATGGATTAGTTTAAACCCAGAAAACTTCTAGACAGTTGGCCAATTTAGAAACCTTACAATATATAATTTAGCACATCAGAAAAAGCAGCGTACCATGCACATATTTGTTTTCAGACCATAGGGTTCATCACACAGGTGAGCCAAAATCATACTTCCTTGCAGAAAAAACCTTACTGACAAAAAAATTAAGATGAACTTCAAATAAATTTTGACCATGACATTGGTTCAAGTAGCAAGAGATAAGAGTCAAGAATGCTGCTAAAGATCTGTAACTATTTATTTGTGCATGTATCTTCAGGAAGCAACTCATATTCAATAATTGAGATGACAAAACATCTAACAGAGCAGAAAATGTCATTATACAGAAATTATTAGCTTTCTGGATATCTCACTTTAGAATAGGTTGCACAACAAGAAAATGTAAAAATGCATAAAACCAAAGGCAAGAAGGAGATCGATTACCACAAGAAATCTGAATGTAAGCCCATTTCCCACTACCACAATATGAGGATAGTTCTTCATTAAATCAGATAGAGATAACTAGTCCCTGCATAACAACCAATATTAAATACTATCCTATGGTTCTAAAAATAATTAGTATTTTGAAAGTGAGAAATACCACAGAAGCACTCCTCCCAGTAGCACAACAAATGGGTAAAGCTGTGAACAAGAAAAGTGAATTTTTTCAAAGATAGACTAAAATCACCAAATCACATATTATAATCTAAGAAATGCACTTACCATGGCCAGTGCCCGCGACATACTTCCTTTTGTTGCATGAACAACCTTATGAACAATGTTAATACTGCCAAAAAGAATCGACGTTAATACTGTTCAACTGGTCTTAAATGTTACAACAAACTAAAGTGCTATAATAGCTAGAATCCACAATCTTTAGCTGATGAATATGGAAGAAGTAGTTGATGCTTTCACCAGAAAGGTGAAACGTCGTAGAATAAGGTTTAACAATCCAAAAAGATGCAATACTACAATTCTGATGATGGACATTGTCAAGATCTGTAAAAATGATGGATGTTGCCTATTGCTAATAAGCCATTTACCATGATCTTATAAATAAAACAAGTCTATTCCAAGCCCATTATCAGAAAAATTTATGGAAGAAAAAGGAAGATATTTATTGAAGTATGAAAAATTAAAAATTACTCACTTGCAATAGACTATTGGAATAACAACAAAAGCTACCATCAACAACAACACAACATTATTGGTCAGAATTTCTGAAGTCAGAGAATAATAGGAGTAAGAATAATAAGAAACACTAAAATCAACTTCGAGACAGATATGAAACATATTCAATATCCATAAATAATATGTATGGATAGGCTCATGGAAGCAACAATCATCTTAAAACAAGTATAGAGGCAGAGTTCATAAAACATAATATAAACTATATAACTACACAAATATCATATCAGATAAAGTACCTCTGATCAATACTCAACACTTCATAATACATAGATTTTAGATTGGAAGGGGTCATACTTTCAATCCTTATTTGAAGGCGAAAATAATAGACTCCATGAGGCTGTAAAGCCTAAGCAAATACAAATCTTTTCAAAAGATTTGGTATTTGATGGAGAACGGAAAATCCTTGAGTGGGATGTTATCCTTAATTGGATGAAACAGTGATTGACTTGGCTTTCTTGGTATCATATTGTGTGCCACTTATGAAAATGCATGCATTAAGGATAAGTATATGTCAGTTTCGTAGGTCAAGGCTTGCAAGGACTCCTGAGTTGGTGTACATAGAGAGGAGGGGGCTTAAAAGCTAAAGAACAAAAAAACACTTTATGCAAAACTCACCATTCAGAAAAGGAACTCAACTCACGAGTGGCATAGATTTCCCAAACGGTTGAGCCCATCACTCAGACCCTGAAATCATGAAGTGTCAAGCTGTTAATAGAGTAAACTGGTAGAATGAGCGCAAAATAATAGACCGAGGTAGCCAGGAATGAGGAAGGACATCAGAAGGAGGTGAGGGAGAAATGAAAACCAAGCGTACCCACTAGAGCTGTAAATAAATGGCTGAGATATATCAACATGAGACTCTATGTCGGTCCATTTACTACTGAAAGAACAAGTGTGTTGGTGAAATAACTGCAAACGAGAGTAACATCCAAAAACAAGATTTAATCAAGATACTAAAAAAACTCATAAAAACTAGGATGAGAATTGACCCAGATATCTATCTCATAAAGTTTCTTTTCCCTTGATAACTAAGAAATCAGTTGTTTCCAGCTTTGCAACTAGGGAGCAAATGGGCCCTCTCTCTACCCTTATCCACTTAAATACAAAAATTGGTTAATAAGCTAGCATTCGAACTTGTGATGTGCGCTTAGCTACCAACCACATATCCTGTATTGTATTACCTTCGTCATTGCACCAAAATCCCAGGGTATTTCTCTCCTATATAGCTTAATCAAATTATCTTCTAAATCCATATATCTTGTAAATGTGTTGAGTTCATTACTATTCAAATAGCTATTGTAACTGGTGCATGACATTTGATTTATATTTCAGCATACTAATCCGCCCTTCTAATATTCTAAGCCAATATATCCAAAAACTAAATATACTGAGAAACACCTATCTTTCCCAAGTAGCGAAGTAGAAAGGAACAACTGATATAACCCAGAACCAGAAAACATCTCGTCCACACATAGCAGAGTTCCCAAAAGCCAAGGTTTCGAACTGTTCATATTAAACACAAATCTGTAAGTCACAAGTCTTTTTAGGGCAAGAAAAAGGATAATTGAAACAGGACATACTGCACATGCAAGCACATCACATCCTGCAAATTGTGAAAGCCAAGACATTTGATTAGAATCATAGCAAGAAATTTAATCAGAATCACAGCAGTTATTGTGTTGTTTGGTTTGTTATACTATTCGACGAATTTCAAATCAATGTATTTCATACGTCTCTAATGAATTATCATTTACCTTTAATTGTCAACGATATGATCACTATACAAGACATCCATTCAAGTTCAAACTTACAAATCTTGATAGAACTTGTTTTGTACAATACTTTACGATGTTCTCTTGTCTATTTCATAAAACAAGACAGGACATTCAAGGTTATACGAATAAATTAAACAATTAATTATAAATAAAAAATTTAATTTGTTGTCATTTCTACGAGTATCACCTAGTATTTCATATTCAAATGGATTATATGTCAGCTCTTCACTGCTACATCATTATATGAGATATGAAGTTCATGATTTGACGACGGATTGATAGAATTTGTTACATTACTCTATCTATGAATATATAATTATATCCTAATTAATATTGTAATTTTATACTCTGAATATGGATTATTGATGTTTCTTTTTTATTCCACGAATTCTAATTTTTTTTTATATAAAAGTATGCAAAGTTGTTACACTTTTTAAACACAATTAATTGTAAGCGTAAAATGAAAATGTAGTATTATGCCACAATAGATAAATTATGTTTAATAGAAATATTTTTTTAAAATTGACCTCCGGAAGTCAATTTTATTAAAAGTAATTAGATTAAATAAAATTTATCGATGTTCTGAGGTCGGTTTCACATTAAATTTAAAGATAAATAAAAATTAATCACGTTTAATAAATAATACTGACAATAGGAGGTCGGTATTATATATTCATTTATTTTTTAATTTATACAAAATCGTCATTCGGAGGAAGATTTATTTAAAGTTAATTGAAAATATTTAAATTTAGATAAGATTATATTTTATTCTTAATTTTCCAAGTATTACCAATAACTTTAGGTCTGTATTAATAAAAATAATTAATAAATATAAAGATATTGATTTCTGGAAGTCCTCACATTTATTTTTCATAAAAATCGACTTCATGAAGTCGAATTTCAAAAGTTTTTTTTTAAAAATCTTTTTAACAATACCGACTTCTAGAAGTCAGAAATTACCGACTTTCATTGGAGGTCAGAAATTTTTAGGTCGGAATTTACTGTTTTTTTAGTAGTGGTTTGTCTTCTTCACACGCCTCTTAGATTGGACATTCACTAATTCCCGAAACTTTTCATCTACATTCTCTAAAAACATTTATCTCATCTCATTAGGTGGCAATTGTTGTGCTCTTGTTGGTCTAACTTAAAAAATTATCTCTTGTATATCATGAGAATTAGAGATTGTATCTTGTAACGGTACGGTGAACTTGCTTTGATATTCTATCTCTTTATTTTCTTTTCTCTGTTGCAACATGAGATCGATAGTATTTGCATAAGTTGGATACGGCATTCTTTAATCATAATAAAACGTCAATGTTTCTCTTGTCTAGTGAAGGTTTAATTAGTGATTTATCTTAGATGAAAAACTCCTAGAGTATAGAAGTTAAATAAGTGTGGGTGAATTAACGTAGCTGTTGATATTTGTCACGGACCATTTTTGTTCACCTGATTGTGTGACATTCACACTCCGTAATCCGATTTCAGCTTTCTAATCTTGGAATATTTTTAAAGATTCTTGAACTATTTTCAAATTTAAGATAACAAGTAAATAAAGAAGCACACAAATTTACAATAATTTATTTCTAATCTGTATTAGTTAGTAAATACAAGAACATTTAATAAGTATACCTCATAAGACTCCATGTAATACTAAGACCCGTTGATCCTTGCTATTTTCATACTCCATGAACATCCAATAATTTCATCTTCACTCCATGAATTTGGATAATTATGACTACCAAATTCGTTGTCTCTGCTACTTCATCACTTATCCCAATAAATGCCTCTAATTCGTTAAACGTTCCCACAATTCAAACGTTGCTTATTGTTTTTTCGAATCCCATATCAGTTTCACTTCAATACCAATTATCTCATGGATGATTTTCGTTCACCTGATTCTATGATAATCATGCGTCCTATACCGACTTCAGTCTTCTATAATTAGATTTTAAAAAAAATTAGTTTTGAAATGTTTTTGAATTTAAAGCAGCAAGCATAAAAAAAAAAACACAAATAAATTTATCCAATTTTCTTCCAAACTTGTATTTATATAAGTGAATACAATAAACTACAGCGTAATCGTCCGATGATTGCTACTATTCATTATTAAATCAATTGATATTTTAACAATTAATTAGTGAATTAATATATTTAAAAATCAATAAT